CTCGGAGAGCCCAACAAGCTACCGAGAATATCACGCCTGCACAGCAGAGCCTGGCAAGCTACCCGTGTCAAATTCGATATGCCAAAGACAGTTAAAAAAAATGGGCCTCATTCCCCTGACCCTGAAAGAACCCCCATATGGCAGCATTAAGAAGGATGAGGAAAGAGAGGCTGATAAAAACTCAGGGCCAAACTAGGCTGCCAAAACAAAGAAGGACTAAAATGACTGACTGTACTTCAACACATGTATGCTGGCATTGGAAGCATCCATCAAGGACCTGATGGTGCAAGCACGAAAGAACAAGTATGGCCAATGATCATCATTGGTCTGACCAAGACGAAAAGGCATCAACCACATCACGCCACTTTTGACACTGGAGAAGAACTGTTCCTCGGAACATGCGACGAAAGAGGCATTGGTGATGTCGGTGTCCTCGTCAACACAAACTTGGCCATGAACATTGATTCATTCTAATGCCTAACATCCCAAATCGAATGCTTATGTTTCAATAGATGTGGCTCACTGCTGGCAGTTTTTATCTTTGTTGTCTACATACCAATATCGAACTACAACGAATAAGAAATTGAGAAATTCTACACGGAGCTGGAGAAGTTCTATAAAGAAGACCACACCCTCTACAAGATCATTGTCGGTGATTTTAATGCCAAGTTAGGACCAAGAAGATTTCCCAAAGCACTTCACATTGGAACCTATGTCCTAGAATGGAACAAATAGGGTGAGAGACTGTCTGAGTTCATCATGTTGACCAAAACCATCCATGGTAACCCATGGTAACTCACAGTTCCAGAAGGCCGAATCTAAACGTTGGACATGGGAGTCTCCCGGTGAAGAGTTTCACAATAAAACTGACCACAACACATTCAATCAATGGTTTTGGCTGACCGTGGTCACTGTTGTCCCAAAATTCCAAATGGGACCGGACCACCATCTCCTTCGTGCAAAATTCTACTTCACAGAGCGGGGAGAAATGGCTGCAAAGTTTAAGGAGAGAACTCCCAGAATGACCACAAACTGGGAGCTCTTTGGCACTATTGCAGCAACATGAGAACATGCCGTTGTTTGACAACACTGACTAGGAATACGATTGACTGGTTCAGCACCTCCATGATTGTGCAAGGAATGCCGAGAGAGAGAAAGACACAAAAATACATCTGTTTTTGAAAACTCCCAAGCTCATTCGCCAACGTGGCTTGGCATGAGCCTCAGGCAACCACAAGCTAAGGTCTGAGCTCGCAAATCAGTGCAGAGAAGCAATCAAGGAAGACCTCAAAGAAGAAGAGCAGCAGGGCTGGCCAATGCAGCAGAAGCAAGGAAAAGTATTCGCAACACCTGCCTGTCCTTTGCCAACTACAAGACCAAGATGACTGCCCTCCAATATCCTCATGGATCTATCACATCTTCCAGAAGGGCAATGGAGAAGATTATCCATGACTTCTACTTGGATCTCTTCGATAGCCACGTCCAACTGCCCACATATCAAATTCCGCAGGATGGATATTCCCAATGATCTCCCTTCCGAAATCCAACACGTCATTTTGTCAAACAGAAACTTTCTCAAAGAAGAAATCTGAATGGCTAAAAGGCAAAAGAAGAAATCTGAATGGCTAAAAGGCACATGAGAAAATGCTCTACATCATTAATCATCAGGGAGATGCAGATCAAAACCACAATGAGATATCATTTCACACCACAGAGACTGGTCCACATCCAAAAGAACAAAAGCAACTTGTGTTGGCGCGGATGTGGCGAGAAAGGACTCTCCTTCACTGCTGGTGGGAATGCCAGCTGGTTCAGCCCTTTTGGAAAACAGTATGGACGATTCTCAAAAAATTAGAAATTGAGCTCCCATTTATATATCCCAGAGAGGCAAAAAAGTATAGTAGAAGTGACATCTGCACTTGTCTGTTCATTGCAGTACTCTTTACAATAGCCAGAATCTGGAAAAAAACTGACTGCCTGAGAACAGATGACTGGTAAAGAAACTTTGGTACATTTACACAATGGAGTTCTATGTAGCTGTCAGAAAAGATGAATTCATGAAATTTACATACAAGTGATACTACATGGAAAGTATCATGTTAGGCGAAATGAGTCAGAAAGAGCAGGATAGACATAGAAAGATTGCATTCATCTGGGGAACATAAAGTAACAAAATGGGAGACTAACACCCAGGAGTGGCTGAGATTAGTACCAGGAATTTTGCTCCATGACTTGGAGGCCAGCCACACGTGCTAGGGGAAAAGGAAGCTCAGATAGAGAAGGGAGCACCAAATAAAGGGTGTTGGGAGGATCCTCCCAGGATGGGTGAAGCATGCTGAAAGTAGAGTATAGACCAAACATGATTGTCACTCAGTGACTCTCTTGCAAACCACAGAACCCAAAAGGAGAGAGAGAGAACAAAAGGGAATGCTCTGCCACAGAGGCAGGGTGGGATGAGGAGGATGGGGGGTGGGAGGGATGCTGGGACCCGTGGTAGTAGAGGATGGGCTCTGGTGGAGGGATGAGTACTTGATCATTGTGTGACTGAAACCCAAGCACAAAAATTTGTAAGTCTATAACTGTACCTCATAGTGTTTCACTAATAAAAAAAAGAAAGAAATGACAGAAATTAAGAGCAGGGTGGGCAATATTTTAAAACTCAACTATGAGAAGCAGAATAACAGTAGTTGAGTAAAATATTGAAGAGCTTCAAGATAAGAAGGAGGAAACCACTAGGAAACAACAGAAGATAGAAAATAGTCTGAAAAGAAATGAACAGCATCCCAGAGAACTACGGGATGAGTTCAAGAGGAACAATACAAGAATCATTGGTCAAAGTAGCATATCGTATTTGTTGGTAGGGCAGTCACTAGCTGGTTCTGTGACTAACAAATAGATATATATCATCCCACTACCATTACATCTTACCCTCTACCATTATTTTGAATTTTCCCAACCACCACCCAAGTGCCCCAATAGCAGGTCCTAAATAATTTATTTTATATTGTTTGTTATAAATAATTTTATAACAATGATCAAAAAAGATTTTCTTAGAAGAAAGTGTGTGAAGATTGTTGTATCTCACCCTGGAGACAGTGAGTTCTTGTATAAGAGACTACTAACATGTTATTACATGTTGAAACTTGTATGCTAATATTTTTTAATTGAGATTTGCTACCTTACATCCTATCCAATGTGTGCTTTTCCTGGTACATCAGTGGTGTAGAGTAGGAAATATCACAGCTGTGTGCTCCAGGAATTCTAAAATTTTAAATAACGTGATACAGCCGGAGTGTTATTTTTAACTGGATGGTGACTTTGAGACATCTCTGTAACTTGTTGATCTCTTCTGAGATTTATTTGTGAGTCACTGGATCATGGCTATTAATGAGTTTATATGGCACCAGAGATAGTTTATGTGCGTGACTGATAGGCTCCCTGAAGAACAGTGGGATAACGGGAGGCTCCCCATCCCTGACTCCATGAAAGCTGGAATTTCAGTCACAAAACCTACTTACCTGAGTTTTTCAACAGATTCACTCATGGATGAGGCTGGTCAAAGCCTGTGGAGATCAGTGGTGGGCATGGTGGCAATTGGTTTCTGGAAGTTTTTGGCTGCCAGACCTCTGTCAGGGCATGTGAGAGGACTCACCCTTCCCCCTTCGGGCTGCCGTGGATATGAAGTTCAGCCTGGCATGGGGACTGAAGGCATCTCTGCAGCATGTTGATCTCTTCTGAAATTTATTTGTGAATCTCAATTGAGTTGTATCATAGACTGGATCGGTGCCACGAGTGGATTCTGTGTTCAGGTGGAAGCCACTGTCAATTAGACAGGCCCTACAATCATGTTCTCTGGTTAATCAAGGCAACAGGCTTTGCTCAAAGTTAGCTGGATCTCTGAGACAGTCCTCAAGATCAGATTGGCTGTTTGATCTGGTTTGCTATTAGACAAGGACACAAGATTTCAGGTTGGGAGATCCACCTATTACCCACAGTGGGGTAGTTATAGAGGTTGTGTGCCATGCCATGTGGGTTGGAGCACTGTCTGGTCTTCCTATTATGGAATGCAATCTACAGTTCACAGTTGTGAAGAGTCAGTAAACAAAATAGCTAGCTATGTTTGGCAATTGGACACAGTCATTGGATATACTGCAGAGTATAATTATTTTCTGGGGTCTGTGACAGAGTGGCACCCTAGACTCTGAGACATCCCAGAGTCCCTATTCAGTGTCACTGGTATGTGATGCCAGAGACATAACACTTAAATAGAACTCTGAGTTGGGGCTGGAGAGTTAGTACACTGACTAGGGCAGATGGCTGAACAAAGTTTGATCCCAGTAGCCCATACGGTCCTCCCCAAACCCTGCCATAAGTAAGCTCTGAGCACAGAACCAGGAGTAAGCCCTGAGCACCGCCCTTTGTGGTCCAAAAGCAAACAAATTTTTTAAAATATGGTTTATTCTCTGCCCAACTGGAAGTTATACTCATCATTCAAGTAGTAATAAACCTTATATGTGATCACTACGTTCTTCCTTTTGAATCTAAACTTTGATAAATTAAGTTATTTGGGTTAATGGTATTATTTAAAGCAAAGCATAAACTCAGCAAAAATTAATAATCACACCCCATTCAAATTTGTTCCAGTGAAAAAACAACAGGTTAGATATATAAATTTCTTCTAAATTTACAACTAAACATAAAAAATGCTTTCTTAGAAGTATCATAATGTATAATATTACATTTTTTTGAAACTGGCTGAATATTATCACAGGATTTTCTAAGTTATTCTACAGTTAAAGATTCAAGGTTCAAGTTCCTCTAAAGTCAATGTCAATTGTTATTTAACAAAAATCACTGAGCTCAAACAACAAAGAGTCAACCAAGTAAATATTTAAACGTAGACATTTCTTCAATAAATATTTTCTCTATGACAGTACTAAAGCAATGAATAAATATGCTTCTTGAAAGTATTGGGAAACCACTTACATTTCCTGCTCCAGTAGTCAGATCTTGATTTGACTTGTGTTGAGTCACACAGATTTAACGTGAAGTCATATTATGAAAGGAAACTTTCTACCAGTGAGTTTATTTTCATAAAGGCATTGTGAAGACTCCTAAGGATCAACTGTTCATACACAATGGGTTTTGAGGAACTCCTAAATCAAGTTGGTAACTTCGGTAAATTTCATATCCGTCAGATGGCTCTAATTTTTTTCATTTCTATGGCAATTGCCTCTCACATAGTATTAGAGAACTTCACTGCAGCCACCCCAGGGCACCGCTGTTGGGTCCACATCATCGACGACGACACTCTGTCTATTAACAACACCACGGTCCTCAATCAAGATGCCCTCCTCAGAATCTCCATCCCACTGGACTCCAACCTGAGACCAGAGAAGTGTCGTCGTTTTGTCCATCCCCAGTGGCATCTCCTTCATTTCAATGAGACCTTTCTCAATATGAGTGAGCCAGACACAGAGCCTTGCGTGGACGGCTGGGTGTATGACCGAAACAACTTCCCCTCAACCATTGTGACTGAGGTAAGATATCCTACTTACCTTTAAATCTTCTGGTGGGTTAGCACAACATAAACTAAATCGGTTTCAAATCTTCACTTACTAGTTAGATATTTTAGTTCCCTTTCATTTCAGCAAATGGTGATTACTTAGCATTTTAATTTCCAAGCACTTACTTTGAATTTGAGATCAATTTAGTTAACTAACTACATATGGATTTTTCTACAGGGTTTCAAGTCAATTGAGAAGACTTGATTGCACAATTACCTAACTTGGTATTATGAAATTATTTTAAGACTAATTTAAGTAGCTGTACTAATTTAAAACTTATCCAGGCCCATGATATTTTTTAAAGAAGCAAGTCAATATATTTTTCTACGGTGATTAAGTGCAGGCAATTATACTTGAAAAAAACTAAAATTTGTAATGTGCTTCAAAGATTAAGAATCCATGATCTATGAAGTCCTAACTAGACATACATTTTCCCAATATATCTTAGAAAACTTAGTTGAAAATTAATTTCTTGAGAAAGCCATCCTTATGCTGGGACTTGAAGAATATTAGCCAATAAATGTAAAGGATGCCAGAGAATATGTTCGCTAAGGGCTCTTTGAATGAGTAAACATTGCACTAGTATAGCCTGCTAAGAAAACCTGTCCTGTCTTTCCTCTTTTCCAGTGGAACCTAGTATGTGATAATAAAGCAAAGAAACCAATGGCTCAATTCTTGTTTTTGACGGGAATGCTCATTGGAAGCTTTATAATTTCTCCTCTTTCAGATTGGTGAGTATCTCCAGATCACTGTTTGCCCTTATTCTATAGTGTTTTTATCAGCTTGGTTAGTTCTTCCACAGAGAAGCTTTTAATGAGTTCAATGTATCATTTACACCATTGTAAGTGGCTGTGGTTTCCAGGGAGCTAGAGATGGAAATGGAGAATTAGAGTCAGGCTGATGAACGCCTGTGCCAGACATAGAAATGACATCTCCATAAGATCTGGGGGGTTTCAGTACAATATTTAGAGAGTATGTCAAAATACTTTATTTTGGAAGAAGAGGATAGGCATCCTGCCACAATATAGTACATACTTCCAGACAGAGTTCAGCCTATTTGAAACATAGACAAGGTGCAGCATTGTAAGCTGTGTACAGGTTTAGTCCCAAGTATCAGAATAGAAACCATAAGCCTAATTGACTCGGCCAAGGAGGATACCCAGAACAACCCAATACTGAACTCCTTGATTTCTACAGTCAAACTTAAGACTCCCATATATGCAGTTAAACTTTCCTTTGTTTGAATTTAGAATATAAGATCAGAAAAGGGACTGGAGCAATAGCACAGCGGGTAGGGCATTTGCCTTGCATGCAGCCTACCCGGGTTTGATTCCCAGCATCCCATATGGTCCCTCTGAGCACCACCAGGGATAATTCCTGAGTTCAGGGCCAGGAGTAACCCCTGTGCATCGCCAGGTGTGACTCAAAAAGAAAAAATAAAGACCAGGGAAGCACTGTCGCTCCACCTTCTGAGAATTCAGGGCATGTGGGGGACCCAAGACTTACTCTGTGAACCCTGGCCAGAAAGGGTTATGAATATACTTTTCTATAAAATTTAGTGATCATTGTAAATGATCACTCTAGATAAGAACTTAGTAATGAAAGTAAGTAAAGGAACAGACATGATAACCTCTCAGTACTAGTATTGCAAATCATAATGCCCAGAGAGAGAGAGAGAGAGAGAGAGAGAGAGAGAGAGAAGAAAATTACCTGCCACAGAAGCAGAATATAGAGGGTGGAGGTTGTGATAGAAGGAAAACTGGGTACATTGGTGTGGGAAATGAACACTGGTGAAGGTATGGGTGTTGGAACATTGTAAGACTGAAATCCAACTATGGACAGCTTTGCAACTGCGTACCATGGTAATTCAACAAAAAATAAAATGAAAGTTGGGTACAAAACTGAGAACACCACAGTAATGAGCAAGTAGATGGACTTGAGGGTGACTGAGAGGCATATGTGGGAGTTATTGGGCTCTTAAGTTATTGGGTGATGCTAGGTAACTGCAAATACCAAGACCATAAATGCCAACATATTGTAAACACATTACCTTAACTATAATAACTTTTTAAGCTAAGATACATAGAAAGGTCATCGCTGAAGCTGCATTAAGAAATAATATTAAGTAATAGCTCTACTAAGTGGTCTATAATGTGGATTTTAAAAAAAAGTCGTCTTTATCTGCCAAATAGGTCTGTAAGAACTGGAAAGATTGCCTGCTCCTTCAAATGCAGAGACACAAATAATACTAGATCATGAAGAATCAGGTAAACATAATATCTCCAAAGAAAACAAATTAAGCCCTAAGGACTAAAGTTCTTAAGAAAGAATTAAAAACAATCACCTCATTGGATGCAACACTGCCCATCTCTACCCAGGCAGCCAAGGGTTCACTCCTCATGAGAGTATAAGCCAATCAAAATATTCAACATGAGGATTCTGCTGAGAGCCTGTGGGACTGAGAATTACCAAAACCGGGACCCCAGTGGTGCTCAGGGGCTATTAGGATCACACCTTGTGGCATATGGAGGCTTTCAGGACCAAACCCAGTGGTACCTGAGTGAGAAAGAATCAGCTCTTTTCTAACATTTTTTATAAGTTGAGATACTGTGATTTATGGTACTGTTAATGACAGCTTCCAATGAACATAACTTCAGTATCATATCCATCACATGTACCCACCTCCCTTCCACAGAGTCCCAAATGCCCCTCCCATACAGCTCCCCCTAGCCACTACACACACACACTAATTCAGTTTTTGGTATCAGTTCTCTCATTGCCTTGCCATTGGCACTTCATTGCTTCCATGCTGAGTAGCATAAAGTTTCATATATGAGATAATCATTCTGTATCTGTCTCTTTCCTTATGACTGACTTCACTTAGTATTATATCCTTTAGTTCCATCCATCACGGCAAAGCCTGGCAAGCTACCCGTGATGTATTCGATATGCCAAACACAGTAACAACAAGTCACACAATGGAGACGTTACTGGACCTACTTGAGCAAATCAATGAACAACGGGAGGACAGTGCTACAGTTGCATTCATGTCATAGCAAATTGTATGACTTTTTTATTCTTAAAGCCACATAACATTCGGGGCTGGAGTGATAGTACAGTGGGTAGGGCGTTTGCCTTGCACGCGGCCAACCCAGTTCAATTCCCAGCATCCCATATGGTCCCCTGAGCACCGCCAGGAGTAATTTCTGAGTACAGAGTCAGGAGTAACCCCCGTGCATCGCCGGGTATGACCTAAAAAGCAAAAAAAAAAAAAAGCCACATAACATTCCATTGTGTATATATTCCACAATTTCTTGATCCATACTCCATAGTTGGGCATATGGTTTGTGTAGAAGAAACATCTCAGAGAAACTCAGTGAATTTCAAGAGACCACAAGCAGTTCAGTTAAAAAATAAAACAGGAAACAATAAATGACCAAAAGGAGGTTAATCACTTAATCACTTAAGTTCCCGTTAGTCGTCGATTTGCTCGAGCGGGCGCCAGAAACGTCTCCATTTGTCCCTGTCGTGTGCTAGTGTAGCCCAATGGCATCTGTTCACTCCGGGAACATGAAGAGCCTCAAACCGATCGTTCATGATCTTGACGAAGAAGTCTGACCATCTGGTAGGTGGGCGGCCACGCAGTCTTTTGACATCCCGTGGAATCCAGTCGGTAACAGCTCTAGTCCAGCGGTTGTCTTTAAATCTCATTACGTGACCAGCCCGTCTGATTTTTGACACCTTGGCAAATGAGACAGCGTCCCTGATTCTTGATCGTCGACGGATGTCAGAACTCCGGATTCTTTCTCTCATTTGAGTGAAACGTGATATTCCAAGCATAGCTCTTTCTATTCTTCTTTGGGAGACCTGAATAAAAGGAGGTTAATTTAAAAAAAAAAAATGAATGAGACCAGTTGTAGTTACTGGTTTTGGCATATCGAATACACAACCATATTTGATAGGGTTCAAATATGGTAATACCTACAAGGGTGATTAGAGGTCGCCCCAAAAGGAGGTTAATTTAAAAAAATAATCAAGAACTAAACACTAAAAATTATTCAGAAAAGATATTTGCGTTCCTATGTTCACTGCAGCACTATTCACAGAAGTCAAAATATGGACATACTCAAAAACAAATCACTGGATAAAGAAACTATGGTACATATGCACAATGGAATACTACGAAATCGTACTCTGGTAGAGTGTGGTGCTAGAATATTTTATTACTATAACCCTATCATTAATAGTTTCGTAAATCACAGTGCCTAGTAAAAGAATTTTATTTTTTTATCATTTTTTTATTAGTGAAACACCATGAAGTACACTTATAGACTTATAAATTTTTGTGCTTAGGTTTCAGTTATACAATGATCAAGTACCCATCCCTCCATCAGTGCTCATCCTCCCCCACCACGGGTCCTAGCATCCCTCCCACCCCTCATCCCCCCCCCCCCCGTTCCACCCTACCGCTGTGGCAGGGCATTCCCCCTTGTTCTCTCTCTCTTCTTTTGGGCACTGTGTTTTGCCAGAGAGGCATTGAGTGGCAATCATGTTTGGTCTATAGACTACTTTTAGCATGTCTCTCCCACCCTGGGAGGGTCTTCACAACACCCTTTATTTGGTGCTCTCTTCTCTATCTGAGCTTCCTTCTCACCTAGCACATGTGGCTGGCCTTCAAGTCATGGAGCAAAATTCCTGGTACTAATCTGAGCCATTCCTGGGTGTTAGTCTCCCGTTTTGTTGCTTTATGTTCCCCAGATGAATGCAATCTTTCTGTGTCTATCCCGCTCTTTCTGACTCATTTCGCTTAACATGATACTTTCCATGTAGTACCACTTGTATGTAAATTTCATAACTTCATCTTTTCTAACAGCTACATAGTACTCCATTGTGTAAATGTACCAAAGTTTCTTTAACCAGTCATCTGTTCTCGGGCACTCAGGTTTTTTCCAGATTCTGGCTATTGTAAAGAGTGCTGCAATGAACAAACAATTGCAGATGTCGCTTTGACTATACCTTTTTGCCTCTCTGGGATATATTCCCAGGAGTGCTATAGCTGGGTCAAATGGGAGATCAAATTCTAATTTTTTGAGAATCGTCCATACTGTTTTCCAAAAGGGTTGGACCAGCCTGCATTCCCACCAGCAGTGAAGGAGGGTCCCTTTCTCGCCACATCCGCGCCAGCACCTGTTGCTTTTGTTCTTGTGGATGTGGGCCAGTCTCTGTGGTGTGAAATGATATCTCATTGTTGTTTTGATCTGCATCTCTCTGATGATTAGTGATGTAGAGCATTTTCTCATGTGCCTTTTTGCCATTCGGATTTCTTCTTTGCGAAAGTTTCTGTTCATTTCCTCGCCCCATTTTTTGATGGGGTTGGGTGATTTCTTCTTGTGTAGTTTAACCAGTACCTTGTATATCCTTGATATCAACCCCTTGTCGGATGTGTATTTGGTGAATATTCTTTCCCATTCTGTAGGCTGTCTTTGTATTTTGGTCACTGTTTCTTTTGAGGTGCAGAAGCTTCTTAGTTTAAGATAGTCCCATTTGTCTATCTCTGTTTTCACTTGCTCGGCCAGTGGCGTGACATCTTTGAAGATACCACTAACTTCAATATCGTGGAGAGTTTTGCCAACTTTGTCTTCAATAAACATTATGGATTCCGGTCTGATGTTGAGGTCATAAATCCATTTCGATCTTACTTTTGTGCATGGCGTTAGGCAGAGATCTGAGC